GGTTCATTGCATGAACGAACCTCGCTTTGGGCGAGTCACCAGACTGCACCTTACCGGGCATGTAGGGACGCTTCAATCACTTCGTAAGTACCATATACTAGTACTTCACTGAATCAACAGTGATGCGCTGTGCTGCTGAATGAGATTTGCTGTATTCGCTAACCTTTAGCTATCATTCTTCTGTCCAGGGATTGGGGGCCCAGATACATCACTGGTTTACAAAACTGAAACGTCATTTCAAACCGATTTATGTTTTCTGTTCATTCTCTAACAAACAACTAGTTTCACGAAATATTTAATTTAAGGTTAACATTTCTAATTGTATTATTTATTAGCTAAACTAAATGACTGAACAAATAGAATATACACATGTATATTGAGTACTGTGTGAGTTGAACACGTCAAATTTGACGTGATATTTTACCTTGTTTAGAGTAATAAAAGACGTTAAGGCTTTTTCACAATTAAAGGGCTGTATATTGCAATATCTTACAGATTTACTGTTGTAAAATGAAAAACGAAAACCCCTGGTGTTCTTGATCTTTAACTGCTAGTAGTATACCTGTATTTGATCGACTGGAGATGGAGGTGGAATTAGATTTAGAACAGTATTAACATTCGCCCACCTGCACTTTGTATCATACATATTTTTAGAACATTTCAGCGTCTCAATTTCAAATCGACTTCGACAAAAGCAGCAAATGCATTCAAATAAAAAATGACAACATATGCTCTTAAAACACATTAATGTCTTAAATCGGCCTCACAGAAAAATAATCGTCCATTCCCAACACACGACTGAGACGAGGGCTGTCATGGCGTAATGAGGCAAGAGACGATGGTGTTATCTGGCATGTGTAACGTCAATCACTACTGTGATGCTGGCCAGGGATGAAGGAGGCCCACCATCTGCTACATGTCAGCTATCTTGTCCCTGGGGAGTTCGTCTGTGTGCACAACATTTAAATTACATCACACGCTCAATTCCTTCCTGCCACCGTGCCTCCCATGTGTTGCCCTTGCTCACAGTAATATCGTCGAGGTATCAATGTTTTGGAATACAGTTATTATGTGTGTGTTCTTTTCGGCGTGACAAAAACATATTTTTACGAATACGTTCTTAATAGAAAACACGTGTTTTTGTCAAAAAGAATACTGTAATTTTGTAGTCTCGTGTCACCGTGGTTTACGATTTTTTAACGGAAAATATTACAATTATTTAGACACTTTGCTACTATAATCACGGTAAGCAGTTTAAAATTCTATAAAGGATAATAATATGTTATTATTATACTGATGTATACTGTGATGGCATGAAAAATGCAACATATATTTCGCAAAAATATCATTTTCTACTGGAGGATTTTTCTATAACAAATTTGGCATACAAACGAGTCCGGTAATTGCGCGCGTCCGGTAATTCTGCGCAGCAATAGCGTACTTCCGTATCGAAGTTAAAATCGTCTGCTACCACATTCACGCTTGAAATCGGGACATTTCTACAAGGGACTGGCTTTTAATCACTTAAGGTAAGTAAATAACAGTAATTGACAGATAAATTGACAGTTTTATGAAAATTCGTTTTCTTTAGACTTTTAAACCTTTTTCTTCATTATTCATAATTGGATTTAATATAAAACGCTCTTCCTTACATTGATGAAGTGAATTTTGAAAATAATCTGGCCCTAATACGCTTCCATACTTCGGATCTCCCGCTGGATGTTATGCGCATCAGTTGCTGCTCAGAATTACCGGACAGCATTCGTCAGAACGCCGGTAAGGTCAACCGTATGGCATAATGCAACGTTAGAATCTTATAGTCGTCAATAAAACTTATATTTCTAGGTAAATATGATGCATACCAGCATGTTCAGTCACGTAAACCACAAAAATATAAGAGACGTTAGTTTTCGTGTTGCGATCAGGTGCGCGGAATTACCGAACGCATTGTAGTGATGTGACATTTCAGACCAAAATACCGACCGTGATATGTATTCGTCATACCTCCACAGACCATGCATAAAGCAGTCTGATATTTTCGATTATCTGGTCCCCTAGAGTGACAAAAATCTAGATTGCGGTTGTCACCACAGGGCTAAAGGTCAAACACCTGCTTCACTTGCAGCCTTTTTCTTCAACATCTGTGAGTGAGTTTAGTTTTTTTCCGCTTTCGGCAAAATTCCAGCAATATCACGGCGGGGAACACCAGAAATGGGCTTCACACATTGTACCCGTGTGGGGAATCGAACCCGGACCTTCGGCAAGATGAGCGATCGCTTTAACCACTGGGCTACCCCACCACCCTTAATATATGTAGTCGAGATAAAACAACTCATATCATCCATCACTCAATGTAGTCGAGCTATCGGACGTCTCATACTAGACTTACTGAGTTTTGGTTGAACGCCGCTTTTAGCAATATTCCAGCAACATCACGGCGGGGGACACCAGAAATGGGTTTCACACATTGTACCCATGTGGGGATTCGAACCTGGGTCTTCGGCGTGACGAGCCAACGCTTTAACCACTAGGCTACCCCACCGCCTCTCTCATACTAGAAGTTCTGGAGCCTGCTTTATGGTGTACGTGCGTGAATCTATTACTGACATGTAATACCGACTCTCCGTTTGTCTGCAACTACGGAAAACTCGATACATTTTTCAAGTTATGATGGAATAAAAGTTAAATTTAGCATCAAACATCAAACAATGCCTCAAAATAAAAATATCGATAGAAATCAGTTTGCAAAATATTTTCAGCAAACAGCTTCACTAAATGTTTATCCAAGGAAAGAAGTGAATAAAGCAGCTTGTGGTTGGTTGATAATGCAGACATTTTGACCAAAGGCATACAGAAGAAACGTGTGGTTGTCTTCCGCGCGTGTCTGGCGCGTGCGGCGGGGGGTTAGTTTGTAATAAGCCAGGCTTTTGGCAGACTGGGTGAATCTCGCTGATGCCTCACTGCATACACACAGACGCGTGCTGTTACAGGGATCCATGTTGTATCAGAGATGACCGGGCAGGTTGTTTAACCCATGACTCATGTGTCGAGGTAGTCTGTCTCACAGTCCCTGAACCACATTATTTTCCCTACTGCCAAGCCCTCGTGCAGTGCTAAAGCCCTAAATGAAGCAAGTCTAGATTTCCTCAGGTTCAGGAATCTCTGGTCCTTCTAGGGCTCCTTTTCAATTTAAATGAGCTTGTTTGTTACTATCAAAATTATATATATTCAGAGACTTAACATTAGTCTAGTGTCGAGGCTGTTGCACCGGCGGGGGAAGAGACGTTGTTGGGGGCGGGGACAAAATGGCAAGATTGGGTGGAAGTGGGTAGGGTGAGAGTGTAAGAGGCGGGATGAGGAGGGGCAGGGGTGGAAGTAGGAGGGGAAGGGATATGGGTAGCAGGTTAGAAAGAGGCGGCAGAGCGAGTAAGTTGGGTTTTACGTCGCTTTTAGCAATATTACAGCAATATGGGGGACAACAGAAATGGGCTTCACACAGTATACCCATGTAGGGAATCGAACCCGGGTCTACGGCTTGACGAGCGGACGTTTTAACGTACGACACTAAGAGTTCATTCTTTTCTTTTTACAACCTTAACTTCTTCGATAGTGTTTGTAATATAAACACATCTCTAGGAAACGAGGTCGTAGGTCTACACGCCCGTGTCCACACCGCCCTAGTCCTATAAAGAGGAAACGCCATTCTGTGTGTTTCTCTCACTCAAGCCAACTCGACTGCGTGATTGGACGTCCAGGTGACGTGACGTCATACCTGGCGAAGCTGACGTCATAGCCTCTGTACCGTCACCCCACTTACAGTGATGACTAACATGACATACTAACTGCATGGAGGAGAGTGTGCCTTCACCTCTACCCTTCAGCATGTCTGTGTTATCGAAAGACACCTCATGTCGATACAACATCAGCTCAGAATGACAAAATATACTGTCAGAACCCCAGGTTTGCACACAACCTTTCAGCATAAGCCCCCAAATTCAATAAAACACAAAATGCATGCATAATTTTAAAAGACATTTTAACGGAAAAGGTGCATCTTTATGTACACTTTATGTTCATACTGTGCGAATGCATATTTTACATGCATACACCATACATAACGTGTACATACATCCACATCCACTGTCTATACTGTATCCGCTCATTAAAAATATATATATTACATTACCTTACCTGGTGAAATCCCGCAAAACCTCTGACTAACGATAGTGAAAGATGTCTGACAACACCTACTTCATGCAAACCACGTCTGTTAACCATCAACACGTGTTACACACAACATCGGCATTCCATTTCTTCAAACAAACACCGCAAACAAACAACACATCACGTATTGGTCAAACACGTCACACTTTGACAGTCCCCTCGCTGATATATGGAGTATTTGTGTCGCCATATTTTGTTTCCGGCGTCTTCTATTGTCCTGATCGACATGGCACAGCTGGTCTACCGTAACATTACCTGTAGACAAAGGTTCGGGTCGGTTTCATGTCTTCAAGGCTATAAACCACATGAATATAGCCCTTCTGAAATTGTGTGTGTGTGGTGTTAGTTTAAAATATTACTGTTATATTCAGCATTACTACTTCAAGTCATGGACTGACTGACTGGCATAATTTATGGAACAAATATGTAAATATAATATTATGGACAACTCTGGATAATGCTTTTTGGAAAAAACCCGTCACGATAAAAATACCAATATTGATAGAAAAGAGTGAATATTGACTTTAGCACCAGCCTGTAGACACTTAACTAGGTGACTGGTTTTAAGACAATAAATCAGTCGCTACACTGTATATAACAATGAGGTCATCAAAATATGTTTACCTCTTATCTTTGTACTAGGGATTATGACGGCATAGTGAATAAGGAAAATCAATAATCATCATAATCCTATTGTTGTTATCCAAATAGTTGTGATGTCATGATATCTGAACACGTGATATATATAATAGACTCACACCAGTGTATGAAATAAGGCCCGCCAGAGACGGGCTAGATTTGTGACGGGCGGTCTAGATTTACAGCTAGCCAGCCCGATGATCTGGTAAACTTTTTAGATGTTCCATACATATTTTGGTGTCTGGTCTGGTTAAATCCATTTTGGGTTGGTAACATTTTGAAGTTACCAGCCCTGATGTCTGGCTGGAGTTTTGGCTTATTTCATACACTACTCACACCCTGTATGCATCCTTCTGTGAAGCGTTAGTGCAGAATAGCACGAAAATACAGATTACAATACTACATTAGCTCAAATAATTATGTTCATGTGAACGATAGCAGAATAACAACGACCGCTTGATTCACAGTTATCTCTTGATTTTCTGACTGATGTACAGCAAAATGCAAAATATATACCTTTGTCTTCAGTCACGCGCCCCTGTGATATACTCTATTCTGTTGACTGTGTTCGTACAGAATAGCACATCAGTGAGTGAGTGAGTTTAGCTTTACGCCGCAATATTCCAGCTATATGGAGGCGGTCTGTAAATAATCGAGTCATGACCAGACAATCCAGTGATCAACAGCATGAGCATCGATCTGCGCATTTGGGAACCGATGACAAGTGTCAACCAAGTCAGCGAGCCTGACCACCCGATCCCGTTAGTCGCCTCTTATGACAAGCATGGGTTACTGAAGATCAATTCTAACCCGGATCTTCACGGGTAACATCAGTACATATTGCATCCAGTTAATAATGGTGCCCATGTGAAACACTAAAAATTAATGTAATCTTCAAAATAAATGTCCTATTGATAAGTCTCAGCCCTTTGTTAAGCACAAATTGTTAATTTCATCTGTCACTTCATGATCGTACTGCTACATGGTCAGACATACCAGGACAGCAAAAGGCAAAAATAAACCAACACATTCTCGGCAGATGCCGGAGTTTACAAATGCTGATAATTTAAGCTAAATCAAAGAAAACAAACATTCTTTCAAACTAAGAGCAATAAATGTATGTCTCGTGTTGTGTTTATTTATTTAGGAAATTGGTGTAAAGTCAGAGGTCAGGGGCGCTACCGATGTGACATAAACAGCTTGAGTCTAGACAACCATTAGCCACTAGAGCTGGTTTTGATTGCATGGACGTTGAGCGGATGTAGAAGGGAACCAGTTTTTCATAACTAGCGTTATTATCACAAGCTAACCAACAAAAGACGATAGAAGAAGTGCTTGAAGACGTCAATGACCCTCCGACGTGACGAGTTGTCTTTTAACTGACAGGCTGCTGATGTCGTATGAAGTCGCCTGCAGTGAAAGCTACAGATGTTATGTCTGAGTGTTGATTTGTGTTAGGATCTCTTACGACTTTGCCATACAATACATGTATGCAAGTTATAAAACACGTATTTTGTCGGTGTGTGAATGGTTATATGATAATAATCAGGTCAATAGTAGGAAATTGAAAATGCATGCTAGTCTGCTAGAAATACTCGCAACTTGTGCTGAGGGCCAGTGAAAATTCAATACCTGTAGTCCTCAATAGCTAGTAGCATTTGAGGGCTAGAAATTCTGAAGCTGTCACAACATTTTCCCGCAAATTAAAACTGAATCAAACTGATAAAAGTGTACACCATGTAAAACATTTGGACACCACTAACTCCAAAATACTGACTTCTATTCCGTTTGTGCAACTGTATATTATGTTTAGCAGTATCTTGTAAAACGTATACATGTACTAACCAGCTGTGTCAACGTTTACTTCTTTGATTTGCATTCTAGAAGGTGGGTGTCAACTTTTAGTATGAAGAGGTATTTAAAAAAGCAAGCTTTCTTCGAAATAAAAATATGTTTAAACCAAAACATTTGGCAATTTGTACTGACTGAGTTTAGTTTTACGCCGCTTTTAGCAATATTCCAGCAATATCACGGCGGGGGACACCACAAGTGGGCTTAACACATTGTGCCCATGTGGGGAATCGAACCCGGGTCTTCGGCGTGATAGCCATTTGTAAGCAGGGCAAAGTTCAAACGCCTACTCGACAGCTTACACTACAAACCAAATTTCTAAGGCTGGGATTGTGTTAGTAGACAGAAGGTTTAATGCCAGAATTCTTACTTCATATCTTTATATGCATACTTTCGGATGAGTGAGTGAGTGAGTGAGTGAGAGTGAATTTTACGCTACTCTGCAGTTTGGTCGAGAACACACATATAATGGGCCTGAGGTGAACCACACACACACTTCCGGAATCGAACCCGGGACTGGCATCGAACCCGGGACCCATGACGAGATTCACACAAAACGATCAGCCCTTATTTGTAAGAGTTCTCAATTACTTTCATAGAGCATTGATTAGTAACACTCACTAACTAGCAGACCTGTGAAGGTCCGGGTTGGAATGAACCTTCAGCAACCCATGCTTCTCGTAAGAGGCGACTAACGATATCGGGTGGTCAGGCTCGCTGACTTGGTTGACACATGTAATCGGTTCCCAGTTGCGCAGATCGATGCTCATGCTGTTGATCACTGGATTGTCTGGTCCAAACTCGATTATTTACAGACCGCCGCCAAATAGCTGGAATATTGCTCTGAGTGCGGCGTAAAACTAAACTCACTCTCTCCTAACTAGCACACGTCTAAAAGCGTTGATTATTCATAGTTTCATGTTTACGGTCCTTGTCAAGTTAATATGCCACGTCCATGACTAAAACTCAATAGCTTGGTAAGGTTCACGTGTTTTGAAATCTAATCCCGCGTGATTCACCAGACATATATCAGCTGTAGACCGATCTATTGTCACGCTGTAATTACAGTCCAGCAACCAAACATTTCGCCAACACGAAGACGATAAACACCGGTCGCGTCGCAGCCGCCATCTTTAAATGGCGTCCGCTCTCTTGATATGCTTTGTTATCTGGTTAATGTGTATCATCACGTGTCTATGAGATACCGTGACTATCGTGAGATTATAGGGCGGTGATATGAATCACAGAGAAGGCAGTCGTCCTGGCGGCTGGTCATGTGTCACTGACCACTGGACAAGATATGAACGAGAATTAAGGCCGTAGTTCAAGGGAGATAACTGACAACCTGTGATACGGTCGGGGTAATTACACATTGCCCGTTCATGACATTGCCCGATACGATATATCCCAGGTTGTTGTCCTTTCTGATGTTATCCGGGTTCTCCTATAAAGGATACGAATTGACTCACGAACTTTATAAACTAAATATCTATTAACATCAAACACACGGAAGGTTGTTTTTTTTCTGGAGATTAGAGAGAAGGGCCGTAGAATCACTTGATCAAATACCGAGTAATCGTTTCTATTATTGTCCCTCTACCTGTTCTCTTTATGACGGCTTTACTGAGAATGCTAAAAAAAATGCTATTTTATGCCGCATCAATCATTATTCCATCACTTCCAACAAGCATCGCCGCTGACGTATGTCATGAAACAACACTGTCAGAATTCTTTTCCGTGTTTCAGGGATACTTTCAAAAGGTGCTAATGTGGACTTAAACCTCCTTAATGATACAGTTCATATATCGACACGTGTCACACATCGATACGTGCCATACAGTGGCACAGGTCACATATCTGTACTGGTCACATATATTGACACATGTCACATATCGACCAAGGTCACATATGGATACCGGTCACTTATCGAGACATGTCACATATCGACCAAGGTCACATATGGATACCGGTCACTTATCGACACATGTCACATATCGACCAAGGTCACATATGGATACCGGTCACTTATCGACACATGTCGTATATCGACCAAGGTCACATATAGATACAGGTCACATATCGACACAGGTCACATATCGACACATGTCACATATCGACCCATGTCACATATGGATACAGGTCACATATCGACACAGGTCACATTTCGGTCAAGGTCACATATCGTCACAGGTCACATTTCGGTCAAGGTCACATATCGAGATTGACGTTGTTCGGAGTTGTATTTCATCTCTATGACGACATGTCTGCTTTTCGTTGGAGGAAAGCCCCAAAGTGGCCACAGTCGTTGATGCTGATCACAAACCTTATGTGGTGATGACCAACAAGAGAGTATAGTCAGAGGATCCTGCAATGACTATTCGAAACAGCTCTGCAAAGAGGTTCTGCATGCAGACGTCAATTCTCATTCGCTGTATCTACAAGATGAACATGCATGTGTGTCTCTACATCTAGATTGATGACAGTACGCAGATCTGAAGATACAAGACTGGGGCTATACTCACATTTAGTTCCAAAAATAAAGTTAAACTGGAAAGGAGAGATCTAGTCTCGCGTTCAGAGCTGGAGCACTACAGAGTGAGTGGGTGAGGTTTACGCCGCTTTTAGCAATTCAGAGAGAATATGTAGACCTATGGCAATGGCAGCCTCCGGTTTCAGGTGTGAGATCTGCATTTAGAGTGCTCAGTTAAAGAATACAATAGAGCGACCCGTTACATTTCCCAGACAGATATACAACGTTCCGATTATCAGACAACGTCCCCCCACAGCTGACATCACCGTTGGATGAAAAGTGGGGGTCCGGGAACTCACCTATCAACCCCAGCATCTGTTGCTGCTGCTGATGCTGCAAGAACATCGTTAACTCTTTCTATTTCCGGTTTCCAGACAGATGTCGCACTTCAAGCCACAGACAACAACAAAATGGCGGGGGAAGATAACAACAGGACCAAAGAGAAAGAAAAGGTTCAGAAATTCCCAGCTGGGCCGAAATTCCGCAGCATAACACGAGGTGTGTAATCATGCAAGACAACGCAGATGCCTTTCGTGCCATTTATCAAACAACGCTAGATGGGGCATGTTTGATTGTAACGTTGAATGAGATTAACTAAAACATTTGCAGGATTCCGACCAGATAGTGAAATAGACTCAGATTATGACTTAACATTCAAGAATATCTAACCGTATACATATAAGGGCGTGTGACGACAAGCACATACTGACGCCCTATGTAAGTCGCATTAGCAATTACCTTCGTATTTACTGTTACAGTTGAATTAAGATAATCACCGTGATATGCATATTACAGTCTATGTATGTATTTAATCGATAGAACATCGGCATATGTTTGCTCTATGTGTGAACTGAATACGACTGTCTACGTGCATTAAG